CTTGCCCCGCCTGTATCTTTGATTGACTACGCGAACGATGATGAGCTGTCTTGACGATGCCATAGGGTGTTGCCAGTACTCTTTTGCTTGATTCCCTTAATATTTAAGGGCTAGGGACTTGTCCGTGACTGAAGGCAGCTTGACTATTCTCTTACCGATCCCACCTACGTTTTTACCTGAGGAAATGACGCTCTTTCTGAAGTCTGCATAAACCACATCGACTGGGTACTTAGGACGGCATTAAAATACATCTCTACCCGCACTGGTAGGTCTACTGCGCAGCTTGGTCATATTTTAGCCCTTTAACATCCAGCACATCTCGACTTGCTTCGGTCAGCCGACGTCGATGCGACATAACTAATTTTGGACGAAGTTCCGCACTATGACCATACCGTGATCAGACTCAATACAATTACCACGCCTGATGCGAGTCTGGAGTGATCAGCTGCGCCATTTGAGGTTGATGAGGACCTGGGCCATTTGCATGGATGTTTAGGATTCCACCCGGGGACGCGCAGATGGCTTTGTAAATGCGCTTATGAAAAAAAGCATCCACGTACGATTAAGCTGTTTTTCGCTCGAAGCTGAGCATACGGCTGCCGTCGTCATTCATACGGCTGCGTTGTCGGTACCGTGACGGCAGAGTACGCCTGACCATTTGCTGTAGCAGGCCAGCCACCTTCGCCCTGAGGTTGCCTATGGCAATTGGCGATGTAGTGAGGCGACAAAACGCTGACAGCCTACAGCAAGCAGTCATAGAAAACGTCTTTGTCGCTGTCACTCGCCTCGTATGTCGGAGCATGGGTGACAGTTACATTCAGAATCGCTTATTTGGCATTTACGGCGACAGATCAGGACTCAGGCAAACACCTGTTACACAGAAATGACCGTCTAACTATCCCTTCGGGACAAGCGATACCCACACCGGCACCGGCACCGCGCTATCCACAGCGGTTTGACCACCAAAATCACTAACCCGCTGGAAAGTCAGGTGTTCTGTTAACAGGAAAGCGAGTTTGCCTGGGAACGTCGAGTTTATATCGACCGACCGACCGTACCTCAGATATCGTTTATCGTTCAACTTATCTTAGCCAGTTGAAAAACTAACTTTCGCTTAAGAAGCAGAAAACGTGCCTCTTGTAGTGTTGACGGCTGGCAAGTTAGACTTGTTGGTTTCTAGTTGTCTGTTAGGTTGAAAGCGACAACCGCTTATTGCACAAAACTCGTTTCCGTGACAGCGATAAGTTTTTCCTTACATAAATGAAGTTTGTCGTGTTTGAAACATATGTTGTGTTACGGAATTTTCGCCTGAAAGCTGATCGCTGAACATCGGGCTACAGTCCCTATTAAACCACGCCACATTATGCATGACAAAACTTGTTTTACTGTCTGAGTCAAGAGTGACTCATGTATTGTTTTCGTACCTTGATGAATTGTCGAAATGGTACAGTAACATTCAGTTAGCAATAACAATAGTTGTTGTGCTGTAGTGCAGTAGTACTTATGCGGTGTACCTGCGGTTAGCGGAGCGGAACAGGTTTGAAATGTAATAACCCTAGTTATAGAAGCAATGTTCGCGTGGCTGGTTCATGCATCATATTGCAATAACGCGAACGAACACTTCGCTTTTTAGCCGCCTTGTGCACTTGGAATCGAGCAACTTGTTTTCCAAACTCTCACAACG